TATTATAAAGACATACAACTTTGAAAAGACTATTAACTATGATCAAAACACACACACACACACACACACACACACACACACACACACACAATGTCTCATTCTGCACCCTAAATCCATCAACTCTCTATCAGGATGTGGATACTATGTTTCATCATCAACCTTCTGGAATCACGTATGATCACTGTACTGAATTTTGAAAAAAAAAAAAAAATATATATATATATATATATATATTCAATGAGAAAATTTGTTTTGTTTGACTGAATATTTGTTGCAAGGAATTTGTTTTTCTTTTCTCAGTGGGGAAAAGGATGAGAGAGAAAAAAAGCAGACCTCTGTTAATTAAAAAGAGAAAGATTAGGGGTTATATAGATTTGGATATTGCAAGTACTTTCAGGTAAGGTCACTATTTTGTTAGTTTTTGCTTAATTGTTTTACTTTGTTCTAAGAGATCTCTCAAGGAGTAGGAGTAATATGGAAACAAAACATATCAATAAAACTTGAGGAGAAAAAAGGGCAAAATGAGATCTAAAAAGACTGAAGCACACGATTTTTCATTCACTATTGAAGCATACTATTTTCTCTCTCTCTTTTTTTGTTTCTTCTTTCTCGTGGTTTTCCCTTTTGGTTCTAATTCTTCTTTACAAAATGACTAATGTGGAAATATGTTTAAAAAAAATAAAATTTGGAATTTGTAAGATAAAAAAAAAAAAATTTTAAAGAATTCACTGATCACTTCCTGAAAGAAACTACAAAAGGAAAGGTCCCAGGAATGTCACAGCCCAAATCCAGAGTTTCTAAGTAAAAAAAAAATAACAATAATAATAATAATAATGATGCAAGCATCCAGAAAAAACCAATTCAATTACCAAGAGAATAGATGGGATCACACAAGAGTTGGGAGCTTCTACTGTAAATGAAAGGAGATCTTGGAATACAATATTCAAAAAGGCAAAAAATATGGACATACAATCAAGAATAACAACCTGCTGAGCATCATCCTGTAGGATAAAAAAAAAATGCACCTTTAAGGGAATAGAGGACTTTGAAGTATTTATAAAAAGACCAGAAATGAGCAGGACTGAAATAAAGTCAAGAGAAATCCAGAATAAAGAATCTAGAGAAATCAAAAATTCAAGAGAATCTACACCAGAAGTGCTTGCAGAGGATCCTGGATTAAACACACAATGAAGGCAGGAGAATCACAAGAACAATGTGCATAGGGACAGCAACACTGTAAAGAAAAACTCTGAAAGATTCAAGAACTCAGATCAACGCAAAGCTCAATCAAGATGTCAGTGGAACTATGATTGATGAAGCATGCTACCTACTTCCTGACAAAGAGGTTGATGGCACATGGTACAGAAAGAGACAAACATGACTGGACATAGTTACTATATGGATTGCTTGACTATGCCTACCTGACACAGGGTTTGTTATTTTCTTTCTTTTTCTCAGTTTTTATTTTGGGGAGGGGAAGGATAGCAACAGTGATATCAAAAGAGATAACCACTGAAACACTGTTTAAAATTCACAGAAGAAAACAAAAAGACATGCAGCAGTTTTGAAAGTAATGTGTAAAATTTGTTTATATATATATGTACATATTTATACACACACACATATGTATATACACACATATTTTTATGTATATATATATGTGTTTTTTAAAGGACAAAGTGATATGAAATAGAGACTTATGTTTTCATATAGAAAACTTTTGTTTTGTGTTCTATTGTGTATATGTGTACGTTGTATATGTGGAACTGTTCTTTTTCGGTATTTTAAGTTCAAATTTTTAACAAAAAATACATAAGGGTCTTTTAGCTACTTCGGGAGAAAAAGGAAAATCAAAGAAGAGATTTGACCTTTGTTTGGGTCAGATGGGATAATGATAACTGACAATAGACAGAAGGTAAATTAATGAATATTTATTTTATTTCATTTTCTCTGTACAGGAGAATGACTTGTACATTGGAAATCTGGAAATGACAAAACAAATTTACTAACAGGGAGTTGATATCTAAGGTAAGTAAGGAGATAATAAGAAAGCACCTAGCCGTCCTTAAAGAATTCCAGACACCTAGTTCAAATTAACTATACTCTCCTATCCAGAAAGAACTAGCATATGTGATTACTGTATCACTGTTAATGATATCTAAAAGATCATGGGAAATTAGAGTACTACAATATTGGAGAAAGGCAAATATTCTGATTTACAAAAAAGAGAACAAAATCTATAGACTCTAGACCAGTTAGTTTGACTTTGATTCCTGGGAAAACTCTAATATAGGTCATTAAAAGATGGTTGGTAAATATCTAGAAAAGGAAATAGTAAATTACAAAAAGTCAGCACAGCTTCATCAAGAACAGGTCATGCCAGACTAACTTCATATCTTTTTTTTTTTAATAGGATTACTTAACTAATAAATAACAAAAATCGTGTGGATATAGCTTACTTAGACATTAACAAAGCTTTTGATAAAATATCACAATATTTTTGTGGAAAATATGGAGAAAGATGGATTAGATATTAATAAATGGATTCAGAGCTCATTGGATCACTGGATTCAAAGAACAGTTGTTAATGGCTAACGATCAATGTGGCAGGAGGTGTCCAGTGTAATACCCCAGGGATCTTTATTCTGACTTGTACTGTTCAACATTTTTATAAATGACTTAGATGAAGACATTTTATCATATGTTCTTTAAACTTATAGATAACACAAAACTGTGAGAGATAGCTAACACAGTTGATTAGAGTCAGGATACAGGGGATAAAGCTCCAGCATTGGAGTCAGAAGGACCTGAGTTCAAATCTGGCCTCAGACATTCGATACTTACTAGCTGTGTGACCCTGGGTAAGTCACTTAACCCCGACTGCCTCACAATAATTAATAAATAAATGAATGAATGAATAAATAGAGTTGAGATATAAAAGGATCCTGACAGACTAGAGCATTGGGCTGGATCTAATAAAATGAAATTCAACTTGAAGAGACATCTCTCCAGTAAAGTGCTCTAGAGATCTGTGCTGCTTAACATTTTTATCAGAAACTTGGATGAAGGCACAGATAGTATGTTTATCAGATTTACAGATGACACAAAGCTGCAGAAATAACTAATATACTAAATGATAGTCAGGATCCCAAAAAATACCTTGACAGGCTAAAAACATAGTTGAATCAGGAGTTCAACAGGGATAAAGTCTTCAATAATATCAAGATAACTAGAATAGGATGTATGCAGCATAGTTAGTCAACAATTGTCAAAAAAAGATCCACAGGTTTTGGTTGAGTGTAAACTCAAGAATGAAGATTATGACACTTTTCCCCAAAAAGCTGATGGCATTAAGAAATGCATAGCTTCCAGGAATAAAGAACAGATAATTTTGCTTTATTTTGCCCACATCTGGAATACTCTGGTCATGTTTGGATGCCACAGTTTGGAAAAGGCAATGATTCTGGAGACAAAGGGAACCAGAATTGTAGACACCCTTGAGTCCATGCTATATCAGGATTATTTCAAAGAACTAGGGATGTTTAGCTTAGAAAAGGCAAGAGAGGGGGGTATAAGGCAGGAAATGATACCTGTTGTCAAATACTTGAAGAGCTCTCATATGGGAAAGGGTTTAGACTTGTTCTGTTTAGACCCAGGGAAGAAGCAGGACAATGTGAGGAAGCTGCAAAGAATAAATTTAGGTATGACGTAAAGGAAAACTTCCTAACAAATACTGCTATCCAGAAAAGGGAGATACTGGGTTCCACATTATTAGAGTTATCAAAATAGTGGCTAGATAACCATCTGTCAAGGTAGGATGTACCCAGGATTCTGGTTAGAGTATAAACTGAACTAGGTACCCACTGAGGTGCTTTCCAACTCATAATTCAGAGTAGGGGGAGAAAAGACTGAAAAGTAGTGAGGTACCAGTCTATAGAGGGGTTTGAATAACAGGCTAAAGTGCTGCCATTTGAGTCCTCCTACCTTCCCAGCCTTATTTCTGAAGAAACAAGCAAGCTTTGCTCTTCAACAAAATGTAGTACTTACCAATACAATTTAACTAAGATAAAAAAAAAATTTATTTAGCTCCCCAGCCCTATAAATCACATTTTATTGCTATGTGATCAATCAGATTTGCCAGTATTTCCTTGGAGTACAAGATATTAGAGGACTTCCGAAAGAACCAGGGTCTCAAACTCATTTGCCTATACTTTAAGTTCATATTACTCATCTTTTTGAAATATCACCATCCAAATATTTGTTCCACTCCACAGAGATCAGTAAATTCCATTATTTAAATGGATAAAACACGTAACAAAAATGTACATAATGTACTGAAGAGATTTGAAGTAACCTGGGTAAATCCATGGAGTCATATCAGAGTCCTACATTTTCCTTTGTTTTATTTAGGGGGAAAAGAATAAGTACTTACATAGTCCCTACTACTTTCCAGACGCTGTGCTTTACAAATATTACCTCATTTGAGCCTTACAACAATCAAGTAAAGTAGGTGTTGTTATTATCCCCATCTTACCCAGGATAGTTAAAATCAGAAGACTTACTGATTCTAGACATAGCACTCTATTCACTGCACCACCTAGCCACCTCTACTTAGTATAACAACTAGCAGAATCACATAATTATCAATCTTTACCTGAGATTTTGTCTTTCAGTGAGTATTTCCTGAGTTCTACCTTTCTCCCAGGATTCTAAGAACTCCTGTTTTTTTGATCTGCAAATACCACTAAGGGGGAATTCAACATTCTCACTCAGGAAAAAGAAAAGACAGAAACTCCTTGCCTAAGAAAGGATGAACAAGAAAATGTCTCAAAACAAGTCCTTTAGATATGGGGATTTTGAAAGCATCATATCAGGAATTTAAATGAATTTTTATTCTACTAGATTAAGAATCTATAAATAGACCAGAGAACACAGAGTCCTAGCAAATAACTTAGCCTTTGTTTCAGGAATCCCTATGCTATCCCAATTTTAGTACTTACTATGCTGAATGTTTCCTGGTCTAGTTCATCATCTTCATCTTCTCCAATGGGGATTGGTTCACTTCCTGCAGTGATATGGACAGGGCCTTGAGCTCTTTTTGATTTACTTCCAGCTTTGGCATCACCTGCTTTAGGCTTTAAAAAGAAATCATTAAATGTGGTCATTTTTTTCTATGTGGCAATCACTATGTGAAATTCTGACATTAAATGTCTTTACATTTATATTGTCATACCACAAAAAGATAAAACTGAGCTCTAGGGAAATATTATATCCCACCAATTAGTGAAGAATGAAACTAATGAATCCTAAACATCAGATAGTGATAATGAAATCACATTTCACCATTTACATGCCTAAAGATAACTTGTTTCATAAAATATATGTTTACTTCTGAGCCACCACCCAGGAAAAAACCATGCTTCAAAAATAAACCAAAAGTGACATATGAAGCAATGCCAGTAAAGGCCCAATAGATTCTATGCTTTCCAGATATAATACTCTTAAGAAGTCAAAGATCACAGAACAGCCAGTTAGCGTTGCTGAAATCAAACATATCCCTCTAAAATCAAACTCCTAGAACTCATCTCTTCCCCCATTTCTGTGCTTTCATCCACCACAAGCTAAATGATCAATTGTTATTTTCAGGAATTCAAATCCTTCCCATAGTTATTTTGTCAAGGAGACTGCTCTCCACTGAAATGACTGAGAATCTGCTTCAGGCACCTGTCTTTCAACTTAAGTTTTCTTTTCCCTGGTCCTTTTTCTGTCACATGAAAATTGACTCTGGGGTCAGAAGACCAGTATCCAAAGGTCACCTCAGGATGCTACTTGGATAACCATAGGTAGGTCCATTAACCTCTCTTAGACTGTTTCTTCACCTATAAAATGAGGGGATTACACTAGGTGGCCCTTTTGAGTTCTTAGTCTACGTTCTTCCCTGATCCAAATACCGACCCCAAATTATATAGCAGAAAACCAGAGTAAACGCCTATCATAATTCCATAAAATACTGAATTATTTAATGTGTCCTCCTTCTTTGGAAAAAGAGAGGTTCCTCTATTTCTCCAAGGACAGCAAGCATCTCTAGATCACTAGAGTATCTCTAGACCCCAAGAATGAAAACCTCATTATCATTTCCAAATTCTAAAAGACAATCCAAATGATGTACATTTACTAATGTATAAAAAGGAAGCAATACCTTTTCTTTCTTATCCTTTGACTTTTTTCTTTCCTTATCTCCTTCCTTTTCTTTCTTAGAACCCATCTGTTTCTCCTTGTTCTCCTTGTTTTCTTTTTTCTTTTGCTTCTTTTTCATGGGGCTTTTTTCCAAGCCATCATCCTAAGAATCAAAGACATCCCACATGACTATGAGTTTTTGCCACAAAGTTTAATTCAACCATTCACTTCTGTGGTATCTAGAAAAACATAACAAAGCTCCAAGGTCACTTGCTGTTTTAGAAAAAGACATTTATTTTTAAGTACCCTGCCCTGCAACACACTAAATGCACTCCATGCAGGAGGCACTCAATATATGTTTGATGATTACTGAGTAGTCTCACATCTATTGCCTGGTGTCTTTAACTGCAGCTGTGTAACCATGGTTCAATTTTGGCCTACAATAATTATTCCAAAATATACCTGAAAATGTGTAGCAATGATAAGAGTAAAGATCCCAGATTTCTATCCCCAACCAATTACATAGTGAGTGTCTCTAATGTGCTTTTCCTTTTCCTTAAAGTAAAGTCTGTTACTCTCTGACTAAGTTTAAGACACAGGAGCATTCTATGGATTGTTTCCACTCTCTATATAAAGCCCAAAACAATAAGTTTCTAAACTACTGAAATCTGGCCCCTACCTTGACTTCCCCCTCTTCTGATGGATTGTCTGAATGCCTAGGGGATGAGAATTCATTTCCATGCTCATCTTTCACTCTAGGAGCCTTGTTTTCCTTCTTCACACGGGGCTTTCGCTTCTTTAATTTGGTCTATTGAAAGGGAAGGAACCACTAATGATAAAACTTACTCCAATAATCGTACTTCAAGTATGTGTGATTTCCACCATGTGGGTACTTCCTCTACCAATACATAGTACACAGTTGAATGAATTGCTTTGGCCACCCAAAAAAAAAAATCTAATAGCTAATTTTCTGTTAATGAGCCTCTCTGTACTTCATATAGCTGATTCTCAGTTAAAGATACAACTAACAATGAAACAGCCAACCAAAAATGTAGCTGGAGCATAAACAGAACCTGGAATAAGGCTAAACCTCCGTAAAGTTGTAGCTGCTTTACTGTTCAAACAAAAATCAGCAAAGACTCAAAAGGAATAAGCAAAGAGCAAGCTTTAGAAAAAAGAAATGGTGTAACTCCTAAAAGAATTTAGGTGCTCTAAGTGAAAAAACCCTTATCTTAGGGCTGATAAGCCAATGGCAACTAGGTTTTCCACTGTTGCTGCTCCTCCCTCCTGTTACATGACTTGGGGTCATTTCAATACTCATAACCACTTTTTTTTTTTTTTTTTTTTTTTTACAAAGAGTGAATGGGAACATAAAAAAGCTCAAATGAGTCCATTAATTTCCTTATCAATAGGTTTCATTTAGGAGGATGGAATTTTTGACTAAAGACAGGTTTTTGGTTCATTTGCCCTTTTAAATCATCAATACTATTTCTTTAGCCCATTATCAAGAATAACCAAGAGCTCAACATAATGTAATGAGTAACAAGATTAGTGGACCCAATGTATGCCCACTACTGGAATATAATATTACATCCAAACTGTAGATAGCAATTTTTTTAAAGTAACAGAACACCTAGTCTGGCAGTGTTTTGGCAGAATGGGAAGGATAGAGAAGGACAGAGTAACTGGGGAATAAGAAGGCTGGTAAGCCATTAGTCCACAAGGGAATGGTCTCATTAAAATTTCACAAATATCAACTTGGGCTTAGCTTTAAACAAATTCTTTATTGTATGATAAAAACTAATCCTCTGAAACCTCAAAGACATCTATCTTTGGGAGGAAATTAAGGAGCTAAGTCTAAATCTGGGGTAATAGTGGTTTTTGTTATATCCACAGCATTCTCACCATTACAAAACAGCAATTTAATTATGGAAGCTTTCCCTTGGGAACAGCCAAAAACTGGTAAACTTCACCTACCTCTTCACCCTCTTTAACCAACTCCTTTTTGTCTAAGTCTTTCTTCAGCAGCTTTAACAGATAGTCAGCTCGAGTTTGCAGCTGCTTTCCCTGAGGTTTTTTATCTGTCTCAACAGGTAATATCTTTGGAAAAAGAAAAAAAGAGAGAACCACCACCCCATTTTGAGGTTAGCAGGCCAGGAAATACTCTAACACAGTACAGTATTGACAAAATGCTCTTCCCTCCCCACCCCCCAAAAAGTCTCAGAACCTGTCTCTTTTCCAGGGCTCCCAAACACTAAAATCCCTTATGCGCTGTTCTCATTTTACAAAATGGGATGGAGAAATCCATCTCTCCCACTGGCTCCTACCTGTGCTGTTAACAGGGTAGAACAACTCAGGTAGGGGGAGCTTGTTGGCTTCATCTGCTAGAGCATCCCAGCCGTCGTGGATTTCCTCCTTCCAGGAGCAGGGAATCCCTGGAGCTAGGTTAAAGCTTCATTTTAGATTTAAAATGCTTCTTAGAGCATTGCCAGAGAGCACTGAGCTATTCCAGGATATGATCCATTCCCTGCTAGAATATTTGGACCTGATAGCCCAGACTGAATTGGAACTCAGTGTTTATGGCAGGGTGTTTTTACCCTCTGAAAAACCACACTGGATGAGCATTGTTTTGTTTTGACGTGCCAGGAAAAGCCCTGCCAGGAGCACAACATTGAAACTGGTCTGCTGAAATCTAAGCCTTCCTACTTTCCTCATTACCTTTTCTTTTTTTAAACCACTGCCGTAACATTTAGGTAGAATGATTTGTACTATGTAAGGAGTAGGTTTCAACTAAAAGTCAAATGCCATTACAAAAAATTCCAAAAAGCTATTCACATTTTTGTGTGTCTGTGTGTGATAAGAATTTGGTTGTATTGAATATATCACCTGAAATAATGAGCCACCAAATGGGCCTTAAAAAAACTTTCCCTGGTATTAATTGTAAGGGTATTTGACCACTGACAAATCTGATTTTTAAAATTCTACTTAGAACAACATCTAAATCTTTCCCCCAATTTCAAAAGGATTTAGGAGTTTGGCTAGCATTTTCTCCTTGATCTTCAACTGTGAAGTAATTATCATATTCCACCAGAAACGGATGTTTCCATAGGGAATGAATGACAAGAAATCATTCACAAAATCATCCTTCTTTTAATGTTAAATGTCAATGAATTGTCTTCTTTAATATTAAATCATTTACCAAAACTTAAAAAAAAAATCTGCCAGACATCCTACAGAATTACTTACTTTGTCAGTTAATTTAAGCTCTGGATCTGTTTTAATTAACTCCCAGTTGCCATAGCCATGTTCATAAATGCCCAACAGCAAACGAGAATCATCCTCCACTCCCCAATCTACATCAAAATGTGCAGCTTTGACACGGCAGGTTAAGCAGTATCTGAAGGAATCATAAAAGCAAAAGAATATCACTGAGGAATTTCTCTAAATATTTTTTGAAAAGAAACCTTTGTTAGCATAGGCACTGTATTTTAATATACTAAGGAAATTCATTATGTAATTTATACTTATCTTAAAAGATGCTAAAAATAGTAAACATGTGCCCAAAACAAACTTCAAAAAGGAAGTCTACCTCACCTATACACCCTCAGACATATATACTTACTTTTTTTTTTCCTCAGGGTCCATAGGAATAGATTTGTGTAACATCTCAAACTCTTCTTCATGCTGAATAATAGATTTAACATTGACTTGAACCCCAGAAATCTTGATAGTAGGGCCCCTTCTTTTCCCTGGTCCTTTCCCTGAGAAATATCAATTTCATATTAGTGTAAAAAATGTTTAATCAAGTCTCATGGAACATATAAGGGTAAATATCCCAACCACTTACTTCCATCCCCCAAGCTTTTACTTCCTCAGTTTAGATTCCTTGCCTCTGATTAGTTCACAGGTATAAAGTATAAATGAAATATTCAATTAACATTTTTGGAAATATCCCCAAATCATTTAAGAAGTTAAATATTTAAGATTAAGTTAAATATTTAAGATTAAGCCAGTAGTAATTTTTTTTTCAAATTTTAATATTTGATTTACTTTTCTTGCTTCCAAAATTAATAACTAGAAGAGGATTTTGAAGGTGTTGAAAAATTAATAGGACTTCCAAATAAAATGGTTCCCTGAATAGAGGAAGGGAATACAGATCCACGTACCTGCTCTAGAAAAAAAAAAAAACTAAAGATAGTACCATACTAAATAATAATAAATCCAATGAAAAAATACAGTGACTTCCTCCACCCTAAGACTGCACAAAAATTCAGTCAGAAGCCAATAGGCTATTGGAAAGGAATTCATTAGAATGTAGTACCAGTATACAGGAAACACTACAGAAGTTTCCCAGTGAGAAGGGCCAGAGATATCTGTAGAATGAAAGGCTCTATGTCTGGAGGTAACAAGAATGAAGGGCTCCCACAAGAAAGCCCCACAGTGCTCAGAAACCAACACTGTAGAATTTCGAAGTAAATGGGTTTGGCAATGTTTGGAATAGAACACTCAGGTCCAGAAGTTCTAAGACCCCTTGCACTCTGACTGAAACACCATAGAAAGTCTTGAAGAAACAGAACTCTTAATATAAAAGATCCAGGAGAAGCTAAAAACTAACCATGCTCTTAGCAAAGACAGAACCCTGGAAGGGAACATCAGTGTAGGAACCACGGTGACCTAAGTCAAGACCAATAGCGTTGACCATCCCACCCAAAAGCACAAAAGGAAGTGGTGTCTGGCACTGGCACAAAGCTCCAACTCAGGAACTAAGGCTAGAAACAAGAATAAACTGAAGATACCAACCACTAAAAATTATTATGGATCCAGAGATACCCAAAAATCCAAAGTAGAAGAGAATAACTCCATAATAAATACAAATTTGTAGTCTCAAAGGAAAAATGAATGTTCCCAAAGGACTACATGAATACTTAGAAGAAATGAAGCAAGAGATGAAAAATAAAATAAAAACTTGAGGAAAGAATGAGGACAAAAAATAACTTGGAATAGAAAGTTGTCTTACCCAAGTAGTGGACTCCCTGAAAATTAAAACAGACCAAAGAGAAATCAATGACTCCATCAGACAACAAGAAATATTATGACAAAATCAAAAAATTTTTTGAAATAGAAGGGAATGTAAGCTATCTGATATAAAAAAAAAACTGGTCAAAGAAGAAGAAGAAGAATCACTGGACTCCCTGAAAACCATGATCTAAAAAAAAAAAAAAAAAAAAAAAAAGCCTAGATAATATAACTTAAGAAATCATAAATAAAAACTGCCCACATCTATTAAAGGGCAACATAAAAATAAAAAATCACTTCATAAAAGGAAAAGTCCCATGAATGTCATAGTCCAAATGCAGAGCTTCCTTATTAAAGGAAAAAATACTGCAAGCGTCTAGAAAGAAGCAGTTCAAGTACCAAGGGACCAGTCAAGATCACACAACACCTGGCAGTTTCTATTATAAATGAAAGGAGATCTTGGAATACAATACTGAAAAAGGCAAAATATATGTGCATACCACCAAAAATAACTTACCCTGAAAAGCTGAGTATCATCCTACAGGGTAAAAAAAAAAAATTGCACATTTAATGGAATAGAGGTCTTTCAAACATTTATGATATAAAAATCAGAACTGAGTAGGAACTTTGAAATGCAAACACAAGAGTCAAGAAAAACCTTTAGAAAGATAAATTTATTCAAGCAATTAGGAAAGGCTATACACTGATGATGTGCTAACATTCTAATGGGAGAAGAGAAACAAGTGTTATTATCAGAACCTTAATGTCTTCAAAACATATTTAGAAGAGGTTGGGGGAGGAATTAGCTTTGGTCTGAGGGTTTTAAGAGGTGAACAAAGGAAAGATGACAAAATAATACTTTAGCAGAGGTGGGGAACCTGCGGCCTCAAGGCCATATGTGGCCCTCGAGGTCCTCAAGTGTGGCCCCTTGAGTGAATCCAAACTTCACAGAACAAATTACCTTAATAAAAGGATTTCCTCTGTAAAACTTGGACTCAGTCAAAAGGCAGCACCCAAGACCTGAAAGGTCACATGTGGTCTTGAGACCACTGGTTCCCCACCTCTACATTAGAGTATAATGGAAGAAAAAAATGGGGTAGAACTTATTCTTCATAATTTGGAAAAAAGGTCAAACACACACACACACACAGAGTTTGGTTTAGAAATACTCAACAGGGGAGCCAAGATGGCGGAGTAAAAGCAGTGACTTGCTTGAGCTCTCCCCCAAACCTCTCCAAATACATGTAAAAAATGGCTCTAAACAAATCTAAAGCAGTAGAACCCACAAAAAGACAGAGTGAAACAAATTTCCAGCCCAAGACAACCTGGATGGTTGATCAGAAAGGTCTATCACACCGGGCAGGGAGAGGAGTGCAGTCTGGCATGGGCATGCAGGCAAACCAGGCCTCAGAGAACCTGGAACAGGCCTCAGAGGACTGAATCAAGGCAGCTGTGGTGGTTTCCAGACTGCTCAACGCACAAACACCAAAGACAACTTAAGAGGGTCAGCAGGAAAAGTCTGTGACCACAGTGAGAGAGAAGCTAGGTCCCAGCCCCAGTCCCTGCTCACAGCTACAGGGCAGCAGATGCTTCCTGAGCTTCTGGCCCACAGACTGAGGGAGAACCAAGTGGCGATTAGAGGGGGATTGCAGGGATCTCTTTGCTGGTGCAGGATTCTCTTGTTTTGCCTGTACTTGGAACTGGGGCACAGTTCTGGGTGACGGTCCTGGGGCAAGGAGGCGTGCTGGTGTGGTGGAGGAAAGGAAATCCTCCTCATAGTTCCAAGGCAGAAAAGTGGTCACTCACAGACCAGAACACAGGCCAGGAAAGGAGTAAACACCTCACCTTTGATCATACCATCTAAGAAGAACTGAAAATTTACAGGTCCCTAGAAGTATCCCTGAAAACAGCTTCACAAAACCCCTGAAGCTTGGGACAGTACATTCTCTACACTGGAAGCAGGACCCTACCTTAACAAAGAGTTTAAAACTCAAGTAACTGACTGGAAATATGAGCAAACAAAGGAGCAAAAAAAGTCAGACCATAGAATCTTTCTTTGGTAACAAAGAAGATCATAACATACAACCAGAAGAAGACAACAAAGTCAAAGCTCCTACATCCAAAGCCTCCAAGAAAAATACGAATCAGTGCCAGGCCATAGAAGAACTCAAAAAGGATTTTGAGAAACAAGTAAGAGAAGTAAAGGGAAAACTGGGAAGAGAAATGAGAGGGATGCAAGAAAATCATGAAAAACAAGTCAACAGCTTGCTAAAAGAGACCCAAAAAAATACTGAAGAAAATAACATCTTAAAAAATAGACTAACCCAAATGGCAAAAGAGGTCCAAAAAGCCAACGAGGAGAAGAATGCTTTCAAAAGCAGAATTGGCCAAATGGAAAAGGAAATCCAAAAGCTCACTGAAGAAACTACTTCCTTACAAATTAGAATGGAACAAATGGAAGCTTATGACATCATGAGAAATCAAGACACTGTAAAACAAAACCAAAAGAATGAAAAAAATAGAAGATAATGTGAAATATCTCACTGAAAAAAAACTGACCTGGAAAATAGATCCAGGAGAGATAACTTAAAAATTATTGGACTATCTGAAAGCCATGATCAAAAAAAGAGCCTAAAAGAATTGGAAATTGAGAGAATGCCCATCAATTGGGGAATGGCTAAGAAAGTTGTGGTATATGAAATGTGATGGAATACTACTGTGCTATAAGAAATGATGAACAGGCTGACTTCAGAAAAACCTGGAAAGACTTGTGTGGTCTGATGCTGAGTGAAGTGAGCAGAACCAAGAGAATGTTGTACACAGTAACAGCCATGCTGCATGATGACTAGTATTGATAAACTTAACCCTTCCTGGCAACACAATGATCTAAGACTTCTCCAGAGGCCTTGTGATGGAAAATGCTATCCACACCCAAAGAAAGAACTATGGAAGCCGAATTGCTAATTTTTTTCTCTTCTGTTGAGTTTTGTTTCCTCTTTCTGATGGTTCCTCCTATTGGTTTTAACTTCTACTTACAACATCATTAATGTGAAAATATGTTTAATATGTATGTAAATGTATAGCCTATTATCAGATTGTGTGCCATCTTGGGGAGGGTGTTGGGGAGGAAGGGGGAGAAAAATTTTAAACTCAAAAGCATATGGAAGTGATTATTGATAAATCAAAATAAATTAATGAAATAAATAGGAAAAAAAAGAGCCTAGACATAATCTTTCAAGAAATTATCAAGGAAAACTGCGTTGATATTTTATAACCAGAGGGCAAAATAGAAATTGAAAGAATCCACCAATCTCCTCCTGAAAGAGATCCCCAAAGGAAAACCCCTAGGAATATTATGGCCAAATTCCAGAGTTTTCGGACCGAGGAGAAAACATTGCAAGCAGTCAGAAAGAAACAATTCAAGTATTGTGGAAACACAATCAGGATAGCACAAGATTTAGCAGCTTCTATATTAAGGGACCAGAGGCCATGGAATATAATACTCCCGAGGGCAAAGGAGATAGGATTACAGCCAAGAATCACCTACCCAGCAAAACTGAGTAAAATCCTTCAGGGGAAAAAATGTCATTCAGTGAAATAGAGGACTTTCAAGCATTCTTGATGAAAAGATCAGAGCTGAACAGAAAATCTGACTTTCAAATACAAGATTCAAGTGAAACATGTAGAGGTAAACAGAAAAGAGAAATCATAAGAGATTTATTAAGGTTGAACTGTTTACATTCCT